TGTGTGTGTGTGTGTGTGTGTGTGTGTGTGTGTGAGCAGGAGAGAAAGAAAGAGAGAGAGACTATATTCATTTATACCAGGTTGTTTTGGAACATACTGTTCTCCTGTTCTCCTCTCTCAGCCTTCCAAGTGCTCAGGTCATAGGCACATGTCATTATGCTCAGCTAGTTCAAAACACACACACACACACACACACACACACACACACTTCATATACATATGCAAATACAATGTGTATATGAACAAAAACAACATATAAAATAATTCAAAAATTGACATCAAGCTTATTCAAACAGAACCTTAAAGTGTTAAAGAAAGCAATTCAAACATGAATCCTACCTTTAGGAAAGCACACAAAGTAATTATGAAAATAAAACTAAGCGAAAAAGATGGAATGGTCTGAGCATATACCTGTCTTTACCATAAATCGGAAATGCCCTGAGTTTGCAGCTATAAGAAGATGCTCCTTCCTTTCATTTTCTATGCAAATTCTATCTATGCACATTCAGGCAAGAAGCTTCAGTGGGATCCTAAGGCTCATTATTTAGCCAGCACATGTGTGTCTTCAGTAGTGCCATATCCACAGATGTCTACATCTGCAGCCCTTCATGGGGAAGATTAGGATTCAATTGCAGTCCTCAAAGCCACAACCTCATCAAAGAAGTTAATCTGTATAAAATGAAAGAATTAGTTGAAATCTCAACAGAACATAAGAAAAAGTGTCTTCCCAACGCCAAAATACAGACATAATAGATACGAGGTTCCAGAAGCTAAGAAAGAAATAATTTCCTAAAAGAATCTCATATAGGCTCTTGATTTAAAAATAATAATAATCGTCATGGTACATGGTACAAAAACTGAGGGAGATTCAAGTGGTAACTTCTCCATAAGCATTCAGGTGTAATCCCAAATGAGGTGGTAGATGATTAAGGTCTGAAAAACCCTATGCCCATGGAGTTGCCTGGTCTAGCAGGATGCTGAAACTCCAAGGTCAGTGAATCAGCTTATTTCAAAAGCAATCAAAACTGAGTGAGGAATAGGTTAATTTCTACATGCTTGAGCACACATATGAGCCTAAACCAGCATGAATGTGTACACTCCTACGTACATGTATACATATTTATAAGAAAAATAAAATAGATATTAAGGGAAATCCATCACTCATTAGGGAAATGGGCAAAAATAATGCCTTTCTTGGCAGGAGTTCAAATTTCCACAAACTTTAAATCAAAAGAAGCAGAAAGAAACATCAGTATATTAACAGGTTAGCATAATCTTTAAGCCTTAAAAGATATAACTGAGCTGGACTGACGTGCATGCAGATTTGGGCCTTCTCCAAGGTAAAATCAGATAAGAGAATGGCAATCTGAACACCTTTCCTGTTTTCAAATCTGAAGTCACCTTTCTTGTTTTTAAATCTGAAGTCATTACCATAGGAGAAAAAGAAAGAGGGTAATTTTTTTCTCACACTTAAATATTATCCAAATTCATCAAGAGAAACAATCTCAAAGTAGCTTATATTGCCTTTCACAGTCTTTTTCAGCCATATAGGCTGGATATAAGGTAATGCTGCTATTAGAAATTACTGTTAGTATTAAAAATGTGGCATTTTCCTGGTACAAAAGAATGCTGTATGGACCTGGGATTATTCAGATTCCAAGTAAATGGGTCAAAGTAAAGTTTATGGGTCAAAAACTAAAATAAATGAATGAATAAAGGAAGAAAGAAAGGAAAGAAATGAAAAGAAAGAAAGAAAAAAAGAAATTACTAAGGAGGAGGACAGCATTTGGGATCTGGATCCAAGTGTTAGTATTCCCATGTGGCCCTGAGACACTGGGCTTCTTCACTCAATACCCATTATACTAAAGCTACTAAACTGTCATGATAGGAATATATGTCCATACCTCATACTGTGTGTTCAAACTAATATCCTTTATTATTAGACACCTATATAGTGGATCCCAATGCACTGAAACTCTATCAGAATATCACATACCAAATATCCCAGAGAAGCTCTGATGATCAGGTGCTCCAGCTCAGGCTCTTTTGTAAAATAGAAATTATGGAAAACTTCCTGTTGCCTGTGTTAGTATAAGACTGTGAAGTTGTCCTAGGAACAGCTTCAGAAGTCTCAGTGTTGGCCACGCAGCTAGATAACAAGTCTCATTTAACCAAAAAGCATCTGAAATTGCAAGGCATGGAAGTGGATCTGTAACAAACCTCTGTTTTTCACCTTTTCCAACAGCCCTTTGTGGGATCACACCAGCACTCTGTGTGAAGCTGTAGCTATTAACATGGAATGCATCTGGTTCCTGATTCTTCATTGGAAAAACCAAATGTTTGGGACTTTCATTTTAAAAACAACAGGCCTTAGCATGTCAGCACAAGGGCAGAATAGTCAAACCTCTATAGAAACACAACATACCAACTGAGATGCTGTTGTTGCCAATGTACCCGCAGAACTGTCTCCAGAAACACAAATGCGAGCAGGATCTACTCCATACTTTTCAAGGATTTTGTCCTGGAGAAAGAATTTGACCATAAGAACACAGCCTTCATGGGCAGCTGGGAATGGATAATGAGGAGCAAGCCTGTAGCTTTAAAGAAAAAACAAACAAAAAACAACAACATGAAAAACCACAATGATCTTTTAATTTCACCAACAGATATATTAATAAAATTTGTCCATATTTTTAATCTTTAATTTTATCAATTAAACCTATACTTACTATTTGGATCTTTTATTCTGTTATTCCGGGTGTTTTGGCATAGGAGCACACCTCAATTGATCTGTCTTATTATTTATATCTATCATTTTAAACTATTAGAATTCTTCTGTTATTTATATGCCAGTATAAACAATATTATTCAGATGGTCCTTGTAAGATTTTATATTTTAAAAAGTGCCTAAATGTTTTAAAAATAGCAAAATCTACATAAAGTAATTTTTACAATTTGAACATATGCCAAGGGAAATGATTACAAGTATCTAAAAAATATAGAATTATTAAAGTAAATGCAACGTAACACACTATTGTAAAAGCTTCTATAAAATAATAATGTGGTAGATTTAGTTAAAGTTACCAGACCATCCTTAAGATTGTAAGTCAGGGCGGGGCAAGATGGTGGTGCCGGGAGGACTCTCATTCTGACCAGCAGCACAGCAGGATCAGCACAGTGACCAGCAATCAGAACTCATGGCCATAAAACACAGGCAATTGTGTTTCCCAGGTGAGAGGATACCCCACGGTGGGTGGTTCAATCAGCTTTTAACTCACCCGGCTAAACTGATCCCGGTTCTGCCAGACGCTTGGCCACCAGCCCCAGCCCAGAGCCACACACCAGTGTCTCTGGTCACCGTCCCAGACTGAACCATGCACACTACACTATCAGAGACTGGAATTTTCAGTTGAAAGATAACCCCATGGTGCAGGAAACGATTGGGACCAACCTTAGGTCAACCAGACATCTCCTGGAAAAGACTTGGGTTCCACGGGTGCCCCAGGAGCCAGCCCAGAGCCAGAGCTGGGGACCCAGCGCCTGCACAGAGCCCTGACTGCATGCCTGATTTGCTGCCTCAGATAGAACTGTGGGCCCCAGGGCACCAGAGACTGCGTTTCACTGTCCGGTGCAAACACAAAGGGAGGGAAGCAGCTGGTCTGATCTCAGAGCACTCAGCTGACTCCCCCACCCAAAAAGGTGTCAGGAAAATTACCCAGTTTAGGCAGACGCCCAGGCTCCCAAAGTCCAGAAAGGCAGACACAGGCAGTTTCTGCACGCCAGCTAGCTGGAGGAGACTGAGCGGTGTGCCCCAGGGCAAAAAAAAAAGGAGACTGGGAGTCCCTGTCTCCAGAGAATCCAGAAGGAAGGAAGGAAACTGTACTGACTTAAATCACCCAAGCCTTCCCTGGAAAAAGTCTCCCAGACCAGCGCGGCCGAGCTGCCATCACTCAGCTGTGCTCCAGACACAGGCACAAACGGTTGCTGCACCCCAGATGTCCAACTGGGTCACAGCTGCTGATCATTAAATTTACAGCAAGAAACCCAGAAACAGGGCAGCTGTCTTCAGGACTTCCCTGGGTGAGAGGAGAACCCTCTCAACTAACAAAGACCACAGTTACCACTCAGGTCTCTATCCCTGAGGTGAGCAGCAGTAACTCCTGCAAAAACGCCAACCATCCAGGGACTATACCCAAAAAGCTGAGAAGACATCCTTCAGGAAAAACCAGCTTTCTGCCAAGGGGATTCTCTCCACCACAGGATCCCCAGGAATGACCAGAAAATAACCCCGAACACCTAAGATAGCACAATGGGTAGAGGCCAGCGTAAAAGCTCAAGCAACAAAAGACAGAGCAATATGGCATCTCCAGAACCCAGTTACCCAGGGACAAGTAGCCCTGGACACCCCAGCATAACCGAAATCCAAGAAGATGACCTAACAACTATGCTCATGAAGATGATAACAGAGGAAACAAATAAGATACGTAAAGACATAGAGGAAGATAAACTCAAACAGAATATTGCCATCCATAAAGAAATTGAGGAAGTTGCAGCCAAACATTTTATGGCCTTTAGAAAGGAAATGCTTAAAGCACTGAATGAAATAAAAGAAACAGAGTTGAAGGAACTAAAAGAAAAACAGGAAAGTACAATCAGACAGGTGAAGGAAGTAAACAAAATAACTCAAGACCTGAAGATAGAACTGGAAAAATTAAAGAAAACACAAATGGAGGAAATAATGGAGAGGAAGAATCTAGGGAAGAAAACAGGAACTACAGAGGTAAGCATAACCAACAGACTACAAGAGATGGAAGAAAGAATATCAGGTGTAGAAGATACAATGGAAGAAATCGATGTATCTGTCAAAGAAAATGTTAAATCTAAAAAATCCCTGACACAGACCGTCCAAGAAATCCAAGACAATATGAAAAGACAAAACTTAAGAATAATAGGTATAGAGGAAAAAGAAGACTCCCTTCTCCAAGGCCCAGAAAATATTTTCAACAAAATCATTAAAGAAAATTTCCCCAAGTTAAAAGAGAGGCCAATAAGAATACATGAGGCCTACAGAACACCCAACAAATTTGACCAGAAAAGAAAATCCTCCCGCCACATAATAATCAAAACAGTAAGTATACATTACAAAGAAAAAATACTAAAAGCTGCAAGAGAGAAAGGCCAAGTAACATATAACGGCAAACCCATTAGAATCACACCTGACTTTTCAACAGAGACTATGAAAGCCAGAAGGGCCTGGACAGATATCATGCAGACCCTAAGAGAACACAGATGTCAGCCCAGGCTACTATACCCTGAAAAGCTCTCAGTCCTCATAGACAGAGAAAACAAGATATTCAATGACAAAAACAAATTTCAACAATACCTACACACAAATCCAGCATTACAGAAGACACTGGAAGGGAAAATACACCCCCCCCCAAAATAGCTTCTTTCAATAAAACACAGGAAATAATTAACCTTACTACAGTAAAACAAAAAGCAACCAAGCACACAACCTTATGATCACAGCCAACCTCAAAATCAAAGGATCTAACAAACACTGGTCATTAATCTCTCTCAACATCAATGGACTCAACTCTCCAATAAAAAGACACAGATTAGCAGAATGGATATGTAAACAAAACCCAGCAATCTGTTGCATACAAGAAACACACCTAAGGCACAAAGATAGACATTGCCTGAGGGTAAAGGGTTGGAAGATGACTTTCCAAGCAAATGGACCCAAGAAACAAGCAGGAGTAGCCATTCTAATATCTGATAAAATAGACTTTCAACCAAAATTAATAAAAAGAGATGGGGAAGGACACTTCATACTCATCAAAGGAAAATTCCACCAGGAAGACATCACAAACTTGAACATCTATGCCCCAAATACAAGAGCACCCACATTTATAAAGGAAACATTGATAAAATTTAAACCACATATAGATCCCCACACATTAATAGTGGGAGACTTCAACACCCCACTCTCAACAAAGGACAGGTCAGCAAAACAGAAATTAAACAAAGAAACAATATCTCTAAAAGAGGTCATGAATCAAATGGACCTAACAAACATTTACAGAACTTTACACCCAAACACAAAAGAATTTACCTTCTTCTCAGCACCTCATGGAACCTTCTCCAAAATAGATCATATAGTTGGTCACAAAGCAAGCCTCAACAGATACAAGAAGACTGAAATAATCCCTTATATCTTGTCTGATCACCATGGAATAAAGCTGTACCTCAACAATAACAGAAATAGCAAAAAGCCTACACACACATGGAAACTGAACAACTTGTTACTAAATGACAGCTGGGTCAGGGAAGAAATAAAGAAAGAAATTAAAGTCTTCCTAGAACTCAATGAAAAGGAACACAAAACAAACCCATACTTGTGGGACACAATGAAAGCAGTGCTAAGAGGAAAGTTCATAGCACTAAGTGCCTTCAAGAAGAAATTTGAGACAGCTCATTCAAGCAACTTAATGGCTCACTTAAAAACCATAGAAAAAGAAGCAGACACACCAAGAAGGAGTAGACAGCTGGAAATAATCAAACTCAGGGCTGAAATCAATCAACTAGAAACAAATAAAACAATTCAAAGAATCAATGAAACCAAGAGCTGGTTCTTTGAGAAAATCAACAAGATCGACAAACCATTAGCCAAGCTAACTAAAAGGCAGAGAGACACCACCCAAATCAACAAAATCAGATATGAAGAGGGGGACATAACTATAGACACTGAGGAAATCCAAACAATCATTAGGACTTACTTCAAAAGTCTATATGCCACAAAATTTGAAAATCTAAATGAAAT